GGGACCTCTACGTAGTCCGGAATCAGGATCATTGGAGAGGTAGGTGGGAAGGGTGACCCAGGACACTTGTATGTGGGAGGGCAGAGAGGAAGTGCAGTGAAAGAGCCTTAAGAGCATGTGGATGGAGTCAAGAGACAGCTGGAAGTGGAAATAGATAATAGAGGCAGGAAGCAATTTCTCAATTCTTGCTTCATGATCAGCAGAACACATTTTCGGTAATGTATATTGAAGGGAGACAACACTGGCACAGGGCAGTGTTGGAAAATAAAAAATAGTTTTAAAGAAACCATTCTGACTACTGTTTCAGGCAGTGGGAGAAAGGAAGTAAGTGTCTGTAATTTACACAGCAGCTAGACTCAGCTAAGAGAGCACAATAAAAACCTCATATCTAGATGGACAGAAGAAAAAACAACATATTTTAGAAGGTATCCATAAATTGGGATTTTCAGAAATTCAAATTACTATGAGAATTACAGGTCAACTCCTACAAGTGCTGATTTAGTACTGCCCCCTCAGCAGCTTTGGCTAGTGGTGCTCCAGTTATTAACTAAAGCTGCCTCCCACTTTCTGGGCAAAATTTCTGAGGGAATGCAGTGACAAGAACACCTTCTGCACTCGTGCAGGTGGTTTAGTGTGTGTAGCTGAATGATATGAAAGAATAATTTGTAATTTGTTAAGTTCTACATCTTGAAGGCTTACAGAATGTTGAAAGTATCAATTTGTATGCTTGAGTATTGCATATTAAGTGCATAGGGTACAAGATATGATGGGTCTAGAGTACATTAATCTTCAATTTCTGTTGCTTTCTCTGCAATGAGACAAGTAGTCATCCAATTTTTCATCAACTCTTTTCTCTCTCACCATAGCAACACATGCATAAAACAATCTAACCTTGTTATAGAAGAGTGGCTTTGTCACTGAAGAACATTGTATCCTTTCAAAGAAACAGCAGCTGGCATTTACACTGTCTTGTTTAATGGCTCTGATGTCTTGAGGGCTGAAGGAACCTTCGTCCAGAAACTAACATTCTCCCCCTCACCCTCAGCCTCCTGTCATCAGTTGTTTTGCTTTTGCAATCCAAATGTGAGCTTCAGAAAGATGAAGGAGAATGTTTCATATATTAAATTCCAAAAACAAAGTTAATACAGCATTGTAGTTTGGATATTCTTTCTTATGTATATTTAAAATATCAAGTTACATTTCCCACCGCAGCCATAATTTGTACGAGTCCCATTGAGCACGTGCAGTTAGCTACACAATATATTATATACGGTGGTAAAGTTTTCTGCATTCATATCGTTACACCCCAATTCAATCAATTACTGTACTTAAGCATATGCCAAATTACACATGTGAGTATTCCCATTAAGATCAATGGGACTCATTATGCAGGGAGCTAGGCATGTGCTTTAAATACCTTGCTGAATTGGAACTATGCAGTATGGCAAAGGTAAAGTTGTAACAGGATCCTTAGATTGGAATTTCCCTACTTTTGAGCAATTCAGATCTTAGCTACAATGTTTTATTAGAATTGTTTTGATTAAATTTAATGCATTGGTTGTTTTTAAAGAAAAGCACTATGGGAGAACTATGAGTGCATGTTCAGAACATTTGTGCAGTGTTCAAAAGAATACACTGAACATTTGCTTTGATAACTGATCAAATTCATATAAATGCATTATGTATATGAGATTCAAATAAATGTACTGAGTATATTTATCTGTATAGCTACAGCTATGTATGTACACAGAGAAAAAAATACAGCTTTTACTGCAATGTGCACTTCTCCAAATCTAAGCTTGTTTTGGATTTTTTTTTTTTTTTTTTTTTAACAGAGAGTGAAATTTAAGATTTGAAAAGATGGGAAAATGCTAACAAACATCATCCCTCTTCCACGAATATCTTCCAAAGTCTTTATTATTTTTAGGTACCCTTCTGTGTTCAAAGGGTTTTCTTCAGAAACACATAAAATATGACTGGTATTAAATGATTTACTGAATATAATTATTTTTGTTTATGGCTGTTTTATGGTAAACTCAAGCATATAAAACTAGTGGTTGTGTTTCATAAGCTGTTGTGTTAAAGTAATAAATTGCAGTCACTTTATATTCTCCTTAATCCTGAAGCGTAAACCAATATACCCATTCAGCTAATGCTGTAAATTACACTCCTCTGCTCTGAAGTTTGAAAATAAAAATAGCTAGGATGGAAAAGATGTGTATGATGATATGGTCTTCTAGGTTCTTGCAAAAGTCTTTACCAGGATGGCGGCTATAGGCATTTGAGGGAAGAATAAATCAGGACGCTTGTTTGGTCACAGTCACAGAGTTCCTGATGGCTGGAAGGCTCAGAATGTACTGTGTACAACTTCTGGAGCCTTTTTTCATGTTATATTCAGCAGAAAGTATTTGTGAAGTTTTGCTCCTATATAACCTTTTGGGGGGAGCGTGAGTTGAAGGAGAGTGCACTGTTAGGTTCTACTTTCATAGGACTTATAGAAATTACAACATGATGGAAAACTGAAGGTACAATTCTGGGATGGATTCTGCTCACTGAAAACCCCCAAGAACATTTGATGTGACATGTAAATATGAAGCATAAAATTGTGATTTGCTTTCAGCCCAGCTATAAAGGTGAAGGGTGTTCTTTAAAATCTACATTAGATGATGTTTTACTGGCAGAACTGTGCAATTGCATCTTATTGTAGAAATGACTTCTAGTCATAGGTGTCTGTATTACTTGTTTTTATGAAAATCATGTCGTCTGTCAGATTTTGTTTTCCTAACTGTAAAATGAGGATACTTAACTTGTTTCAAGGATGTTGAAGATTAATTAGTTAATGAACCCAATGCTGCAAAATTCCTGCTCATGTGAGTAATACTATTGATATCAAAGTGATTCCTCACAAGAGTAATGGCTACTCATACAAGTAAGGGCTTTTCAGGATAAACACTGAGTAGAAGTACTTTTATTAATTTTATAATGTAATAGTACTCTTTTCCTTTATTAAAATCGTTTTATATAGATCTGGTCTGCAGCACTGAGCATGTACTATGGGACAAATATTACAGCCCTTACTCACATGAGTATTCACACTTAGTAAAGGCTACTGTGTTGGCCCCTGTGTATAAGAAGAACACTGTTAAATTATACCCAAAAAAAAAAAGATATTGTGTGAGCAGTAACAGTATAGAATAGGGGGGGAAATATAGTATACTGGATATTAAAATGTTTCTGTAATAAAAGGTCTATTTTTCTGATAGACCTGGTCAAAAATGAGATGCAGTTTTCATAACGTTGACAAAAAATTCATCCTGTGGCTTTTCATTGGAATTTCTTTGAAAAGTTTCATCGAAATGGTGAATTTTGAAAAAGTTTGACCATCTCTATGTATGATGGGTGAGACACATAATATTGGAGGCTAATACCATCTCCTTATTTAATTGCAATGGGGGTGTGTACAGTCTTCCAGCATATCTCTGGACATTCAGTTCTAACTCTACAGTATACTTTAATTGAATTTAAAAAGCATCATGATACTCGACCAAAAAAATGGGGGGGGGTTACTGTGTAAGATCACTATTGCAAGTTGCTGAGATGTCTAAAACCCCATTGACTTCTGTGCAAGCTGGAGGTGGTCAATATCTCTTGGGAGAGAGTCAGCACCTTGCAGGATTGGGGACTGAGATCTCAAATTGACATCAGGGATTGTTTTCTATTAAAATACTGTTTTAGAAACAAAGCACCTGTAATATCCCAAACTTAGACAACATTATTTGCCTTGTTTCAGAGTAGCAGCCATCTTAGTCTGTATTCGCAAAAAGAAAAGGAGTACTTGTGGCACCTTAGAGAATAACAAATTTATTTGAGCATAAGCTTTCGTGAGCTACAGCTCACTTCATCGGATGCATTCAGTGGAAAATACAGTGGGGAGATTATTTGCCTTGAGTTCAAAATACAATGCACTTTCTCTGATACAGAAACAGAAGATTAAAATGACAAAGGACAAGTCCTCATCTTAGTTTTGCCCCCCTGCCCTTTGGACAGGAAACCTGCCCAATAACTCCATCTTGTGACTGTTCTTATTTATTGGTGCCCCGTTCAGTAGGTATAACATGGTCTTTGACAGAAAAGCAAAAGGACCTTTTCCCTTTCCCAAGGTGTCTACAATATAAATTATCCATTCAAATTTAATTACAGAATGGCTAAATTATTCTTAAACAATACCACTGTGTTTTCTGGTAGACTCTTGCACATGTAAATAACCATGGATTAAAGTGGGTTCATGGGGGGAAATGATGATATGGGTGACAGAGCAGCTGGCTGGGACCTAAAAGTAAAGAGAGCAGGTACCTCCACTCATATATAAGGAATTTTATTTGGCCTAATTGAGGTGCTGTACTAGTAGGAATTTGTCCATGCGTGAATTGTTTGTACTTTGCTTTCATTGTTTAGACAGTTCAGTGTAATGACTTTTCCCCAGAGACTTTACTCTATTACAGGTTTTACTTCCCAGTAGAGGCTTTTTCAAGCAAAGTTTTGTCTCCAAGGTTAATGCTGGAGGAGGTTTTCCCTTGGGACACTCCAAAAAGATTGGGACTTTGGAGCCGGGAATGAAGAAGTTGAGTTAACCCAGTTAAATCTTCCAGGAGGGGGTTCCTGTGTGTCTGGAAACCCCTTTTTTATTGAGAATCTGAATTAAATATGCTGGAAGTAGAGGAATTTAGCGTGCAGTATTTTGTGAGTTTGTATTACTGTGTGTGCGTGCATGCGTGTGCGCATAATAAACACTTGTGCACTGATTGGTCTTTTTTCTTTGGGGACTATTTAATTTTCCTCCATAACAGAATACCATACACTCAAGCCTCCACATCTCACCTGCCTTCTGAGGCCCTCCCCTCATTTCTTAAATAAAAAAAGTTGTAAACATTCAGTGCATCGCACAGATTTGTTGCTTGTGTGTTTGTTTGCTCATATGATGTATTCCATATGTTTTGCAGATAATCTAGATTGATGTTCTTTGGTCAAGGACCATGTCTTTCTGATTGTTCTGTAAGATACCCCACTCCAAAACAATAATCCATTCAAATGGCATGGTGGCATCATCAGATAAAGTTTCTGATGTAAGTATGTAAGTTTCTATCCTAAAATAAAGGAGTCTGCTGTTTTAGTTTGATAACTTTAAAAAGAGCAATTTATATTTTTAATGAGGGAAAAGTTTCCTCTATTGTAAGCATTAACTCATAGTATGTGTGTAATATTAAACAGTTTTATTATACAGGTGAAAAAGGGATGTGAATTATCCGTACTTTATATAAATAAGACACTGTAGGTATTTATTCTGTCCAGTGTCAGATTTTTTGTAAATATGCAATAAACATTTGATCATTTTTTTTTGTCCTGTTACTTATTCTGGAAGCGTTCAATTTGTGCCTCTCGTCTTAGTGAGTTATGCTCACCTGGACACTTCAGTGACAGATCTGCCCCAATTTTGTAGAACCAGATGATTCAGAGGCACATGAGGCATTTTGCAGGGTTCTTTTGAAGATGTGTGCGTGTGTAGCTAGGCACCCTATTGGCACACAGCTAAGGCTAATATTTTGTCATGGATATTTTTAGTAAAAGTCAGGGCCAGGTCACGGGCAATAAAGAAAAATTCATGGATTTTTTATTCATAAAAATTTTTTATTCATAAAAATATCCATGACAAAATGGAGAGCCACTGGGCAGCTGCTGAGAGCCTGGCTGGGAACTTCGGGTGTCCCCCTTCACCTGTGGCTCTGAGCTGTGGGGTCCCTCCGGCCAGGAGTTCTGGGGACAGTGGGGGTTGCCCACAGCAGCTTGGAGTTTGGGGGGGCACAGGTACCTCACAGCTCCCTGAAGTCATGGGCTTCCTGACCTCTGTGACAAAATTGTAGCTTTACTCACAACACATAACACTCCTCTGATGCTCAGCAAGATACTGAGTGGTGCAGTTCCAGGATAAGAGCTTCAATCTGTGCTCCCTGCACTCTTCCAGTTGCAGTTTTAGAGCATGGGGAGTGGGGGGAGAACAGATCAGTGCTGTCACTCCCTGCTCTGCTTCCTGAAAGCTGAGGAGAGAGTGAAGATTCATTTAGCTACCCATATGTGGGTAAAATGAGGTTAAAGGACTAGCCAAAGATCACACAATGAGTCAAAGGGAGATGAAGCCTGGAGCAGAACGCAAGTTTGCTGCTCTAACCACTAAACAATTCCTCTGATACAATTTGGAAATCATCCCCTGATACACAGCAAATAAAAATACCTACAATGAGATAAAGGGGAGAATGTAGAAGATACTTCAGCTTGTGAAAATTTCCTTGCTGTTGTGTGCACCTTTATGCTTAGTAAAAGTATTAATGAAAAACAACCTCTACCAGCACTTGTAATCTATCTGTGGATACAGTGACTAATCTTTTCATCTGTTGTTCTGTGCTGCATTTGTGTAATTTTCTTACAGGGTCCCAATGAGGCCTGCTGGCAACATCTATTACTTGGCACTTAAGAAGAGGCAGAAAGAAGATGACCCAGAACTGCCAGCTGGAATATGCACTGCTGCTTTCATTTGAATAACCCACAGAATGTTCTATTTTTTTTCTTTTCAGCTTTTGTTTCAAGTGACCACTATACTTCATTGTAATAGATGCTTCCTGAATAAGCTGGGGGTAGTGTTTAAAATGGGGGCTGTCTTTTGGGTTTACGGAAGAGACAAAAACTGAAAAAAAACCCTCACTCAAAATAACTTTCTGTTCTGACAATAAGAGATTTGAAGGTTAATTGAAACAACAACACATCCCTAGCCTTATTTTTCTATATAGTCTTTAATCTGTATAAACAACTGTATGAACAATTTGTATACACAACTCTCTTTACTATGCATTTTTGGTAATAAGTTAGATTGTTGTAAGATGTACCTAGCTTGGTTCAGAATCTGAAACTTTCTGTTGGAAGTTTCACTTCCCCCATAAATCTAGGAAAACACTCTGATATACCTGGTGCAGATCAATGGAATTGTAACTACTTAGACCACAATTTGAGTTTGGCCTTTTAAGCCCATGTTAATATGTAGGTGCATCTTTTACTGTGGATATATATCAGGTTTCAGAGGAACAGCCGTGTTAGTCTGTATTCGCAAAAAGAAAAGGAGTACTTGTGGCACCTTAGAGACTAACCAATTTATTTGAGCATGAGCTTTCGTGAGCTACAGCTCACTTCATCAGATGTATATACATCATATATCAGATGTATACTTCATCAGATGTATACATCTAAGTGAGCTGTAGCTCACGAAAGCTCATGCTCAAATAAATTGGTTAGTCTCTAAGGTGCCACAAGTACTCCTTTTCTTTTTGTGGATATATAAAATCCCCTTTTTCCTAATCTTTGGGATATCTGAGCATATTGACTTGGTGGTTTTGTTTTGTTTGTTTGTTTTAAAGCTAAATGGCTGGCAAAATGAACAATTTACATGTGGGGTTTTTTTGTGAGCACTACCCCGTGTGGTCAGGGATCTAACCAGCAGCATCTAACCCTCTCTCTACTGGATAGGGAAGGAAAGTGGCTCTTACACCCCACCCACTCTTTTGAATGGCATTATTAGCAAGGGAAAAGCACAAACATTTTTAAACTTGTGCAAGGCTGAACCTCAGCCGAGGAAGATTGTGCTCCCACTTTAGGACATTGGAGGACTTTGTGAAAGTGCTGTGAAGTCCCCTACCATCAGTTACAAGAGCTTGAATGTCATATGTGGCAATGGGTCTGTCCTGAGTCAGACTATTCCCTTGAGAAAGAGTAGGTGTGAAATGTCTAATGTAGCATTTTGTCACCACAGTAAAGGATTCCATCCTCCCATCAGGAGCACTTAGATGCCCATGGAGCCCACAAGACTTCAAGAGTTGTGTTTACATTAGAAAATTAAAAAGAACTATCAGTTTCATTAGTTCTAACCTTTGGTATTAAATAAATGAACAATCACATTGCCAAATGCCCTGGCCTACTGCTAGTGACTGCAGTTTTGCTTTAGATTTGCTTGTTTGTGAGATAAGACTTTAAACTTAGCATGACAGTTAATATGTTCACCCAAATGGAATGCAAGTACATGAATAGGTCTCTCTGTGCAACAGTTCCCCACCTGTAAAATGGGAATAACAGCACTTCCCTACCTCACAGGAGTTCTGGGAGGACAAATACACTAAAGAGCATGAGATGTTCAGATACTGTGGTATTAGGAGTCAGATAAGTATCCAAGAAAGAATATTTAATAATGTTTATCAAATCATTCAGTGGTAGTAATGAATCTCTTGATAACTGTAAGAAGAATATAAATAGTTATCTTAACTTTAACCAAGAAATTGTAATTCATTTCACATCTTTCATTGTGCAAATGGATTGATTTTCAATACTACTTGGCTTGACCTAATACCCATTTTTCTTTTTCAAGCAATATTCCCCCGTCCTCCTCATACTAGGCTTTGGACTTCAAACCTTACATTAAGTCCTGAACAAGCCAAGGCACTGAATGGAGCAGATGTTCTTTGGGGAAAATCCACTCCTCCCCTGGGACAGCCAGTGCCCATCTTTTAACATGATCCCCCTTTAGTCAATTATGGTCTCCAAATGGAGTTTCATCTAAGTCCTCACCCTGAAAGATGATGGTTTTGCTGCAATGACTTGAGGGCAAGTTGGTTCAAGTGAGGGGGAAATGTAAGAATTTGCATCTCTCCATCTATGATACAGACAGCACTTCCCCTACAAGTGAACAATTATTCATTCTAATTAAACAGTTACTAATTCTAATTAAAAAGAAACATAAATTGTGGATCTCAGTTACTCAAGTTTTGTTTTAAAACAAATGTTTTAAAGGACAAATTTAATAGAAGTGTACTCCTGGTGTACTTTTTAATACAGCTGAAATAGATTTGCCTTCAAACATTCACCGTCATTGTTGCAAAATTCTACTAATGGATGAGACAGCCAGACTCTGAAACTGCTGTATGATAGCGTGGTCTTGTTTCTGTGTAAGCTAAGGCTTCTTTTGGCCTCAGTGGGAGTTGGATCAGACTTTAGGTCTGTTTACTTTTTTTGCTCTTCCCACAGTTTTCACAGTGGAAACAAAGGGCATAAATGGCGTATGTATATAAAGTTAGATTTTAAAATCGAATCCTAGATACAATTAGTAACACAGAAAAGGGGTTAGGTTGGAGGGGAGCGCAACATGCGATTCTTCTTTGTCTTTGTACGTGGCCCATTCTAGATGCATAGGTGCCTCACGTGCACAAATGCTGAATCTTTGACGGGTAGTGTCCATTGGGGCCACTCCTGTGCTCTGCGTGCCGTCCTCACGTGAAGGTCTATGGAACAGGGCGTCCCCAATCACCCTCTGGCCATCTGGGGCAGCGAGACAGAACTCTGCCTGGTCTGCCCACTGCCGCATAGCAACCTCTCTTTGTAGCGTTCTCCTGGACTTTGGCAGAGACTTGTTTTTATTTCAGTCCGTTTAATTTTAATCACGTGGCTCATTCTAGTGCAGAGGTGGGCAAACTACAGCCCGCGGGACCGTCCTGCCCGGCTGCTGAGCTCCCAGCCGGGGAGGCTCGCCCCCGGCCCCTCCCCCGCTGTTCTCCCTCCCCCGCAGCCTCAGCGCTGTGCAATGCCAGCGCTCTGGGCCGCCGCTCCTGCCGGGCAGCGCGGGCGGCGTGGCTGGCTCCGGCATGGTAAGGGGGCGGGAGGTGACTGGGAGCAGGGGGCGGTCGGATTGGGTGGAGGTTTGGCGGGGGGCTGGATAGGGCATGGGAGTCCTGGGGGGCCTATCAGGGGGCGGGGCAGTCAGGGGACAAGGAGCAGGGGGGTTGAATGGGTCGGGAGTTCTGGGGGGGCAATCGGGGGTTCTGGGGGCAGCAGTCAGGGGACAGGGAGCAGGGAGGGTTGGATGGGGCAGAGGTTTTGGGCGGGATGGTCAGGGGACGGCAAACAGGGGGTGTTGGATAGGCATGGGAGTCCCAGGGGGCCGGTCAGGGGGTGTGGTTAGGGGACAGGGGTTGGATAGGGGGTGGGGGTCCCGGGAGGGGGCGGTCAGGGGACAAGGAGAGGGGGCGGGTTGGATAGGTCGGGGATTCTGAGGGGGGCAGTCAGGGGACAGGGAGCAGGGAGGGTTGGATGGGGCAGAGGTTTTGGGCGGGATGGTCAGGGGACGGCAAACAGGGGGTGTTGGATAGGCATGGGAGTCCCAGGGGGTGTGGTTAGGGGACAGGGGTTGGATAGGGGTGGGGGTGCAGGGGGGGGGGGGGGGGAGAAAGGGAGAGGGGGGGTTGGATGGGGGGGTTCTGGGGGGGTCCTGGGAGGGGGGGGGGTTGGGGGGCAGGGGTTCTGGGGGCAGATCAGGGGCAGGGAGGGTTGGATGGGGAGAGGTTTTGGGCGGGTGGGGGAGGAGGGGGTTTGATAGGCATGGGGTCCCAGGGGGTCAGGTGTGGTTGGGGACAGGGGTGGTAGGGGTGGGGTCCTGGGAGGGGGCGGTCAGGGGACAAGGAGAGGGGGCAGGTTGGATAGGTCGGAGGGGGGAGTCAGGGGACAGGGGGGTTGAATGGGTGGGGTTCTGGGGGATCGGGGGTTCTGAGGGGGCAGTCAGGGGACAGGGAGCAGGGAGGGTTGGATGGGGCAGAGGTTTTGGGCGGGTGAGGACGGCACAGGCGGTTTGGATAGGCATCGGAGTCCCAGGGGGTGTGGTCGGGGGGGGGTGGGAGGGGGGGGGGTCCTGGGAGGGGGCGTCAGGGACAAGGAGAGGGGGCGGGGGGGTTGGAGGGGGCCTCCAGAGGGCAGGAGTGGGAGGGAGAAGACGGGGGGGAAGGCTGTTTGGCAACCCCCCTATTCTGTAGTGCCTCGCTACCTTCCTGCCAAATGGCTGAGCCCAAACCAGATTTCAAGCCCTCCCCATCATGCAGTGGTCTTATCCCCTTAACCTTTGGACACACCCATTTCTAGTTCATACACCATCTTCCCATGTTCACTGAGGGTGCTTGACCCCCGCTCTGCCCCACGCCCTACCCCCAATCCACCCCTCCACCAAACCCCTGCCCTGCCCCGCCTTTTCCCACCTCCGCCCTATTCTGCCCCCTCCCCACATCTCTTCCTACCCCGCTCCTCCCCCCCCCACCCCCTGAACCTCCTGCACATCGCTGAACAGCTGATCATGGCAGGTGGAAAGCGCTGGGAGGGAGGGGAAGGCGCTGATTGGCGGGGCCCGCCGGCAGGCTGAAGGGCTTGGGGCGGGGGAGGAGCTGATCTGTGGGGCTGCCAGTGGGTGCTAAGCACCCACTGTTTTTTCCCCATGGGTGCTCCAGCCCCAGAGCACCCACAGAGTTAGCACCTCTTGTACCTCAAGACTCCAAAAAGGGACTATCCCCACAAAAACTCCCATTCCTTCAGTGTCCCAGTAAGTACAGACTCTCCCCCAAAAGCTTCCTTGGCCAGTATTGAGAAGGGATATCCAGGTCTCTGCCCCTTTGACAAGCCATCAGTCCCACAAATTGAAGTCTGTACTCACAGTGGCCTTGGCAGTGAAGCTTGGTACCACCTCTACCTTCTTAAGGCAGGGCACAAGTGAGCATGGTAGCAAGGGTAATTTACAGCACCCATCCTCTTCCCCAGAGCAGGAAAAACCTAACGAGGGAAAAAGATTAATGGGCCATTTGAATCTTCTAAATCTCAGGGAAAGGCCTGATCAGGCTAGTCTGACAGGCCCTTTGACTCCTCCAGCACATCTGAAGCCAATCAACCCCAGTACCAAAGACTGGCACTAGTAAGGGCTCCCTCTCAGCTCTGGTACTAGGGTTACCAGATAGCAACTGTGAAAAAATGGAACAGGGGATGGGGGGTAACAGCTGCCTATATAAGAAAAAGTCCCCAAAAATGGGACTGTCCCTTTAAAAACAGGATGGATGGTCACCCTACTAGTACTGATATCAAGATTCCACTGCTCCTCCCCAGCCAGAACGGGACTAAGTTCTAGTCTCCAGGTCTTAGCTGTGCCTGTGGATCTATTATTAACTACAGATCTAGAGTCCTGACACCAATCACAGTGCAGATGTTACTGGTGCTGGCTTCTCTACTGCTGGGAAAATATAAGAAGTCCCCAGCACCAGTTCTCTCCCTTCTACTCTTCAAAGATTGTTTCTTCAAATATAAACAAGCATAAACCATTCTGATCTGACAGACAGCAGGAGTATTTCATTTGAAAAGTAACATCAACTTGCCCAAGATCACACACGGAATTTGTGGTAGAGAAGGAAACTGAGTGTAGATTTCCCAAATCCCAGACTAACATCCAGACCCAAACTTCATCCAAAGTGTGGGTGTGTTTAGAGCCAGAGGTTGGGCTAGGGCTATTTCGATATCAAATCTTTTTGCACTGAACCTAACTCCCATTAAAATCAATGGGAGTTAGGTGCCTCAGTACTATTAAAAATCTGGGCCTCTGGGCCTTACTTCTCCCAACTGTATAATGGGTGTAATACCACCTCTCTACTTCAATGGGGTGGTGTGAGGATAAATACATTTAAGACTGTGAGGGGCTCAGATACTAGGCAGTGGAGGCATATATGTACCTTTGACAGACTGACATATCCAACTGGGGGCAGGTGAGGCCAGAAGAAGTGGGAACTAGCTAGCAATTTGAAATCTGTACACACACAGTAATTATTTGATTTTCCCTCCCCCCAGTGCCTCCAAATTTGACATGCTTCTGGGTACAATGGGCTAGATTTATCCCTGGTGCAGTATAATGCAGCTGACTTCAATGGAGGAATGACAGCGCTTAATTTGGTCCAGTTCGATCAGCAAGGGCTTGATGCTGTTTCTATGGAAAATCAACAGCGAAACACCCATTGACTTCAATACCAGCATGACCAGACCCAAAGTAGTGCAGGTAGTTGGAGATCTAGTAACCTGTTCACTTTAGGGCAGGAATTCAATACAGTAAAATACTAAAACAATCTTAAGGGTATATTATAATGGAGAATCCTCTTCAGAATACACTGCTTTCCAAAATCCATAACTTATTTAGGCACTTGGTTGCCACAGTCATGGATCTGGAGTAAGAACGTAAATGGATTTTTCATTCATTTCATAGCTGGAGACATGGATTTGATTTGGTCTAAACATTTGCTAGTGAGATTTGTTTTATGTCTAAGTTTCTACCAACTTTAATCAGTAAAATAAAAGTTTATACTGGCTGTGCCTTACGCAGTTCCTCAAAAGCCAAGATGAACCAATGCAAACTCTGCCTTGAGAATGTACTGTTATTCTTTATATTGTGTTAGTATCTAGGAGCACTAGTCATACACCAGGACCCCATTGTGCTAGCATTGTACAAACAGAACAAAAAGTTAGTACCTACCCCCCAAAGAGCTTACAAATCCCTCTTTGTAACGTAGCTGAATTAATGTTTGTAATATGAGGGTTTGGGGAAGCTCCTTTTTCTAATTATGTTAACTTTTCTATAAAGACTATCAATTTTTCCCATGAGTGTTATTTGGCAAATAATATGCATTTTTACCCTCGCCCTAACTGTACAGAATGTTTTAGCAGAGAAGAACGAGGTTTCGGGTGCCATCTGGTGGGAGCCTTATAAATGTCAGTCAAATAATCAGGATTATGATTGTAAATAAAGATGATAGTAATCCGAGCAGTGGGAGAAGGGGGAACAAATCCATTCCCTTGTTTGTGCGTAATGTAGTTTTGTCCTATACAAGTTTGTCAGATGAGAGTGAGAATACGTTTGATCTGGCAAAATGGTGTTAGTGGAGAGCTACTCTTCATGGAGTCCCACTAATTTTGTAGCCAGTTGCAGGAGTGGAACTCTAATTCCTGAAATATATAATCAAAATCCTCATGGGAATAGGTGTTACATACAGCAGCTAAATTATAAAATCTCCCTCTGGGAGGTAAGGGATTGAATGGGCAGAGAGGGCATTTCAATGTACCTGATCCCTATTGCAATATGATTTTGTGTAACTACAATGGAAAAATGTAGGTAACTTTTACAATTGTTACAAATCATGAGCTTCTTGGTGATATAACTATAGGCTAATTATTTACCACTCTCCTTTTCCTTCCACATCTCTGTCTATATATTTGTATTAAAAAATCATTTAGAAATAAAAGTGGTCAGCTCTCTGGGCAGGAAACAGTAAAGGTTTGAAGGTAGCCAACTCAGTTTCAGTTTGAATGTTTCATTGCTAATGTAATGCTTTTAAGGTTTTAAATAATGGGCCAAATTCTGCTCTCCTCTATACTAGCAAAACCCCATTCAAGTTACAGGAATTGCCATGTGATAAATTAAGTGAGAATAGACTGTGACCTATTCTATTTTTTGTCTTATGGTTTATAGTCAGGTCAGAAGCTTATTTTATAATATGGCAATTTCACATTGTAAAAAATCTTCATTGTGTCCTAAAAATATCTCTTACAACATCCTTTATGTTAAAGGTATTCAAAATTAAGACATGCTGATTAAGCTTCCTATGCAGGGAGCATACGTGACCTTACAGAGAGAGAGAGAAATACGGGGATAAATTTGCTGACGTGTACCAAGTGAGGGTTTGGAGCCAAGCAAAACAGCTTGTGTTCTTGGATGAGGAGGGTAGTTAGCTTCTGCCTGTGTCGTGCAGTTTAGAGAGCACAGATGGGAACCTCAGCAGAAAAGTTTTTCACTCTGCAGCTAGACAGAAATGCTTTAATCAGACCAGTGTGGGCTGAAACTGAGCAACTGGACAAGAGGTTGTGCTTAGCTAAAGTTTTATTCTGTTGGGGTTAATCATTTTAAAATTTATTTATTTGGTGAGTCTGTGCATTTTAGAGCACTCTTGGTAGATTACTTTTGTATGATTGTCACAACTGTAGCTCAGGTTTCAGAGTGGCAGCAGTGTTAGTCTGTATGAGCAAAAAGAACAGGAGTACTTGTGGCACCTTAGAGACTAACAAATTTATTTGAGCATAAGCTTTCATGGGCTAAAACCCACTTCATCGGATGCATGCAATGGAAAATACAATAGGAAGATTTTATATACACAGAGAACATGAAACAATGGGTGTTACCATACACATTATAACAAGAGTGATCAGGTAAGGTGAGCTATTACCAGCAGGAGAGAAAAAAAACCTTTTGTAGTGATAATCAAGATGGGCCATTTCCAGCAGTTGACAAGAATGTGTGAGGAATGGTAGGGGGGGAAAATAAACATGGGGAAATAGTTTTACTTAGTGTAATGACACATTCACTCCCAGTCTTTATTCAAGCCTAATTTAATGGAGTCCAGTTTGCAAATTAATTCCAATTCAGCAGTCTCTTGTTGGAGTCTGTTTTTGAAGTTTTTTGTTGTAATATTGCGACTTTTAGGTCTGTAATCGAGTGACCAGAGAGATTGAAGTGTTCGACTGGTTTTTGAACGTTATAATTCTTGACGTCTGATTTGTGTGCATTTATTCTTTTATGTAGAGACTGTCCGGTTTGGCCAGTGTACATGGCAGAGGGGCATTGCTGGCACATGATGGCATATATCACATTGGTAGATGTGCAGGTGAAATAGCCTCTGACAATGTGGCTGATGTGATTAGGCCCTATGATGGTGTCCCCTGAATAGATATGTGGACACAGTTGGCAACGGGCTTTGTTGCAAGGATAGGTTCCTGGGTTAGTGTCTTTGTTGTGTGGCGTGTGGTTGCTGATGAGTATTTGCTTCAGGTTGGGGGCATGTTTATTCCCCCCACCCACCACTGTTCCTCACATGTTCTTGTCAACTGCTGGAAATGGCCATCTTTATTATCGCTACAAAAGGTTTTTTTTCTCTCCTGCTGGTAATAGCTCACCTTAACTGATCACTCTCATTACAGTGTGTATGGTAACACCCATTGTTTCATGTTCTCTGTGTATATAAAATCTTCCTATTGTATTTTCCACTGCATTCATCCGATGAAGTGGGTTTTAGCCCACAAAAGCGCATGCTCAAATAAATTTGTTAGTCTCTAAGGTGCCACAAGTAATTGTAGCTCAGAAGCCAATAAATCTGATACAGAGCTACACCAGTTCACAAGGCGAAATAAACATTTTACATTCTGGGGTTCTTGAAGGGTGTTGGAAATTCCCATAGTCACCAAAATATCTCACGGGCACAGGGAAAGCTAAACCAAATTCTTTAGAAATCCTGGCAGATTTGTAAGTTCTATTTTCCTCTTACTGGTTTGGGGTTTTTCACTTTTTTTAAGGAGAGGTAGAGTTAGTAATCCATAAAAGACAGTCAGGCATATATTGTGTAAAACATATGGCATATGTGTCTTTTTAAGCTGGCAGCCACCTCCAGGGATAGAAGACTCTAGGCTTTGATGAATCATTTGTTGATGGATATGGAATTCATTTCCACTAGAGGTCACTATGTGCAAATGATTACGTCTTCCTTTTCATATCAATTACTTTTATTGGTTTACAGGAGAAAATTTGTCACACACTTTGCAATTCAAGAGGTTAATGGGGCCCATCTGCATGAAATGTAGCAATTGACTGAAGACATGACATTTTTTATGTGCCCCAATTAAGCCACAGATTATTTCATTTTAAAATAAGGGAAGTTGGCTCAGCCGTGTACATCTTATATTCAAGAGTGTCAAATTCATTTCAGCCAGAACCAAACCCCTACTAACATTGTCTGACTTTAGGAAATTTCAGATCCAAATCCAAATGTCACTGATAGCCTCTTTTTTTATAATCGTCTGAGCCATTGTTTCTGCTCCAAGTATCCAGGTACTTTGGGAAAGATTGGATTTTTGGGCCCATCTATTTAGACGGTAGCATGTGGAATGAAAGCTATTTTGATGCAGTTCTCATAGGACCAAATGCTGATGCCACTGAAGTTAATATCAGTAGAAGCAGTATTTGGCTCATAGTGAAGTTATGTGGAAAAAAACCTCCTTCACCCTTATAAAATTCCAGTGTGTTCCTACAGTTAGACAGAACCAAAATTCTGGCTAGAGGAGTAGATGCAGTATTTCTCCATCTTATTCATCAAAACAGTTCAAATATAACATATTTACTTAATGGTGCCACAGAGGCCATTTACTTATCCAAATTAAATGAGACATACTGTATATTGAGTATAGAAGCTTATACTTGGTTCATCATCATGGTATCTAAGTTCCTCCCAATGATGAAATAAATAGACAAGTAACATGTTCTAGGATACATAAAAGCTCATTGAGCAGGGCACAATGGAAAGATATTTTAATAGGGATTTGACACATCCATTTTTTTAGTATTTATTGGATATAAAATATGATTCTTCACTGGTGAGGAGTGGGATGAAAGGGAGTTGCGCCTCTGGGGAGAACTTCATTGGGAGGGAAAAAATAGACAGAAAAATGTGAATGAAAATTGGGAGTTCATTAAGAATAGTTTATTGGATTGCCAAAAAGCCATGATTCCACAATCAAGAAAGAGGACAACTTTGGCTAAAAGCCCATCTTGGTTCAGTGGCAAAGTGAAAGCATCAATTACAAATAAAAGAAGCAACATATAACAAATAGCGGGGAGGGGAAAGGAAATAGCAATCAATATAAAATAGATGGTGTGGAAGTGTAGAAAATTTATAAGGGAAGCTAAAAATATCAGGGAAAAATCCATGGCTGGCAGGACTAAGGACAATAAGGACTTATTTAAGCATAAGAACAAAAGAAATCCTAGCAGTAATACAGAACAATTGGGCGTGGAGATGATGAAATTGTTAATAATGATGCAGAAAAGGCATAAAGATTCAAAAAATATTTCTGTTCTATATTTGGAAAGAAGGAAAATGTAATCCTCTCACATGAAGTATTTCACAGTCCATTCGTAACTCAGGATGAGGTTCATTATCACCTAAGGATAAATATTTTTAAATGAGCAGGCCCAGATAACTTTCACCAAAGAGTCTTAAAAGAGTTGACTATGGAGACCTCTGGCCCACTGATGTTAAATTTAATAACTCTTGGTCTGAAGGGACACACCCTCCCTCTAGTGGAAAGTATACTAACAAACTCTTCTGGGCCTGTACAGCACTAACAAGGTGCCTCTTCAAGGTTGGCTCTGCCTGGAGTTGTGGGGGGAGAGCTTAAAAAGGGAAAACCTGCCACAGGAAGGAGTGGTGAACAGAAGGACTGCTCCACTTCAGAGACTGCTGACAGAAGACAGGTTAGCTGAGAAGGAGACAGTCACAGGCCACACCACTCCTTAAGCTGCATGGACCAGCTGCAAAGCAGTACACCTCAGGAAAAGGGTCCAGAGGTAGACCCCACTAAGGGACAATAGACCCTGATAGACCAAGCTCAAAGAGTTGCTTGAGAGACAGACCACCTTTGTTTTTCTATATTTTCACTCAGATTCCCCTCTCTCATAAGAGAAAGAGAGGACCTTTCTTTTGCCTGTTTTACTCCAAGAACTCCTTGTGTGCTACAAAGTGGGGAGGACAGTATACATGACTGGCAGTAGTGTCTGGAGGGGCTTGACTATGGAGCCCCTGCCTCGCACACTTGAAATACCAGGAAAATTTGAGAAGACTAGGAGAGTGCTAAAGTTGTCCCCATATTTTAAAATGGCTGCAGGCTTACCCAGGAAACTATAGGTCAGTTACCCTGTCATCAACCCTGGGCAAAATAATGGAAAAAGGCTTAATCAGGTTTCAGCTGATAAAGAATTAAAGGATTGGAATATAAGTAATGTCAGTCAACAGGGCTTTATGGAAAATAGGTCATCAGACAAACCTGATTTCATTCTTTGATGAGATTACAAGTTTGATAAAGGTGATTGCACAGAAGTTATATACTTAGACTTTTGTAAGGCATTTTACTTAATACTGCACAACATTTTAATTAAAAAATAGCACTACAGAATATCACTAAAGCACAGATTACATGGGTTATGAACTGGCTAACTGACAGATCTCAAAAAGTAGTTGTCGATGGGGAATCATCATCAAATAAGAGTGTTTCTAGTGGGGTTCCACTGGGATAAGTACTAGGTCTGACACTATTCAACATTTTGATCTGGAAGTAAATATAAAATCACCGCTGATAAAATTTGCAGATGACACAAAATTTGGTGGTGTGGTAAATAATGATGAGAACAGAGCAGTCATACAGAGCAATCTGGATCACTTGGTAACTTGCGTCCATTAAACAAATTGTGTTTTAATACAGACAAATTCAAATGTATACATCCAGGAACAAGGAATACAGACCATACCTACATAATGGGGGACTGAAATGGAAAACAGTGACTCTGAAAAGAATTTAGGTCTCATAGTAGACATGTAACTTAACATGAGCTCGCATTACGATGCGGTGGAAAAAGGGATATGTGATCCTTTTTTGTATAAACTGGGGCATTGTGAGTAGAATAGGGAGATGATTTTACCGCTGTATATATGGCATTGATAAGACAGATACTGGAATACTGTGTATAGTTTTGGTGTCCATATTTTTAAAAGGATGTTGAAAAATTCAACAGTGCAGAAAAGAGCCACAAAAATTATTTGAATGCAGGAGAAAATGCCTTACAGTGAGAGACTTAATGAGTCCAGTCTGTTTAGTGTATCAGAAAGAAGTACGAGTGGTAACTTGATTACAGTGTATAAGTACATTTATGGTGAGAAAATATCAGGTACTAATGGGGTTTTTAATAAAGTGGAAAAAGGCATAATAAGAACCATGCTGAAGCCAGAAAAATTCAAATGAGAAATAAGGAACAATGAGGGTGATTAGCCATTGGAACAAACTACCAAGGTATTGGTGGCTTCTCCATCTCTTGATGTCTTCAGATCAAGAGTGAATGCTTTTCTGGGAGATACGCTTCAGTCAAACACAATTAGACTTTAGTCAGACACAAGACATTTGGCTCAATACAGGGGTAATTGGGTGACATTTAATGGCCTGTGATATACAGAAAGTCAGACTTGATGGTCTAATGGTCCCTTCTGGCCTTAAACTCTATGAATCTATGAGCAGGAGGGTGTGTGGAACTAAAAGAGTATGGGAGGAAGAAATATAATGGAGAGGTCTGGTAGTTGGGAGGAGTGCGGGAATGAAGCTGGGCCACTTGGAAGTAGCAGAGATGTCACCAGAGAAAGAAGGCAGGAAGAGCTGTGTTACTGTGCAGGGCCTATCTGATAGAGTGAGGGAGTTGCCTCTGATACCAAAAAGGCATGATGGAAGGGAGTTTGCTTAGCCAGAGGAGTGCCTACCATACCCTAGTTTGTGGATCACTAGCAGAGAGGGGTACCCTTCTGCAGCCCAGGTTTAGGTGACAAACTCCAAGAGAGGAGCTTAACATAAATGCCTCTCACCAGTATCTCTCATTGGCTACCTTAGGCAGCTCCCTGCCTAGCATGCTGGCTTTGTGGATCTCATTCTAAGGAGCTATCTCTCCCCATTCATTGTATAGGGAGCATAGGTCCCTAACTCAGGCTTTATGGATCCTGGTGGTGTTCCTGTGATTGTCTAGGCACCTAAAAGTTAGGCATTGCAACAGTGAGTCATCACAATCTTTTTTGTGGATGTGGGCCTGAGTATTCCTCTTTATTTTCCTCCCTATTTGATCAAGCATAAATACTGGCCAATATGAATAATGGCAGTACTTCTGGCCTTTGAATACTAATCAAATATGGGGTACAAATTCTTCACATTCTTCATATTGTATGTCCCTTGTTGAAAAAGAATAGCCATGGGGACAAATAAAAAATTTGGCCTCTGACTTGCATAACTGATCCCCTGGGTCAGTATTCACAAAGAGGAAAACCTTGCCCCTTTCTTTGCAGGTGTGAAGGCCCACAGCAAAAACAGTGCTGATTTGCCGGGAGGAACAGGAGTCCAGGCAGCTGGTGCATATTGCTTGTGTGCTGCCAGCCAATAAGGATCTGGGACAAGGGCAGTGGAGACAAGCATTAGGCTAGGAGAGGAATTGGTAGGGGAGAATTTGGCATCACCAGCAATTTCTGCTTGTGTACAGAGACACAGGCTCTGCCAAGGATATTCCAGCCTTCAATCTGAAGTAATGGCTAGATGCTGTTTAGATTTGGGAGGAGGATTCCCCAGTCACCAAGGAACTCCCCAGTGTATACCCTCACTTCAGACTCATTTCACCTGTCCTTCATACCCTTCTTCCTTGCACTGTCCTTCCCCCCATCTCCTCCATGTCATCTTTCCATTCCCTTCTTATCCATTTAGCTTATCCCATCCTCACTAAACTCCACCAAATAAAATAAAAATAAAGAAATATAAAAATAACTGAGGCACTAACATGCTGTTTGCTGCCATCACATTGTTCACTCTGTTTCTGTCTGTCTTGACTAATTAGATTGTAAGCTCTTTGGGCCAGGGACTCTCTGTCACTCTGTGATTGTACAGTGCCTGTTGCAATGGGTTCCTGTTAGGGTTGCCAGGCGTCTGGTTTTCAACCAGAACACCCGATCGAAAAGGGACCCTTGCAGCTCCAGTCATCTGTGCTAAAAGTCCAGTTGGCCACACTGCCAGCAGGGCAGGCAGCCTCTATGAGACTCCTGGAAAGTAGCCAGCATGTTCCTCCAGCTCCTAGGTGGAGGGGCAGCCAGGGGGCTCTGTGCGCTGCCCCCGCCTCCAGGCGCTTCCCCGAGCGCCGGCTCTGCAGCTCTCATTGGCTGGGAACTGCTGCCAGTGGGAGCTGCAACGGTGGTGCCTCCAGGTGGAGGCCATGCACACAGCCCCCTAGCCATCCCACCGCCTAAGAGGCAGCAGGATATGCCAGCCGCTTCCTGGGAGCCGCATGTACTTCCTCCATCCCTGGGAAATGCTGGGTCCACCTGAGGTCAGCACCACCTGGAGCCAGCACCCCACACCTCCTCCCACACCCAAACCCCCTGTCCCAGCCTGGAGCCTCCTCCCACATTCCAAACCACTCAGCTACAGCTCAGAACCCCCTCCCACACCCTGAACCCCACATTTCTGGCCCCACCCCAGAGCTCACACCCCCAGCCCAGAGTCCATACCTCCTCCACACCCAACCCTCCTGCCCCAGCCTTAAGCCCCCTCTTGCACCAAAACCCCTCATCCCCAGCCCCATCCCAGAACCCACACCCCCAGCCAGAGCCCTCACCCCCTCCTGAACCCTCATCCCTGGCCCCACCCCACAGCGTGCACCCCCTGCCAGAGCCCTCACCCCCTCCCGCACCCCAATGTCCTGCCCCAGCCTGGTGAAAATGAGCGAATGTGGGACAGAGCGAGCAATGGAAGGAGGGGGGATGGAGTGGGGGCCTCAGAGAAGGGATGGGGCAGGGGCGGGGCAAGGGTGTTCAATTTTCTGCAATTAGAAAATTGGCAATCTTAGTTCCCGTGATGGGACGTACCAGACCCTCTGAGGCATCCTACTGGAGGTCTTGTGGCCCTGCCACACCTCGCCCCAGAAAAGGGCAGTGGAGAGGATCCTCCAAGCTGCCTAGAGAGGCTGTGTGGGACACAGCCAATCAGAAAGGGACTGCCAGGAACAGCCAATCAGTATTCAGCAGGCTAGTATAAGAAGAGCTGCAACTCTAGCGTGAAATCAGTTCCTTGTTGTAGTTAGAGGACTGTGGATGGTGTGTCTGGTTGACTGAGGGAGGTATAGGACCTTGGACAGAGTAGTGCTGGCAGAGATTGTGGGAGCAAGAAGGAGCTCTTGGGGAAGCTCCTGGGACTCCACCACAGCAAGGCCCTGAGCTAAAGGTGAAGATGGTATAAGACCATGGGGAAGTGCCCTAGGGAATCAGAGCAGTGATACAGTTTAGATAAAGGGACATGGCAGATGGCTGCTATCTGCTGGGTTGTTGGGCTGGGACCTGGGATAGTGGGTAGGTCTGAGTCCCCCTGTGGCACTGCACTGCATATTCTTCATAGTTGTATGATTGTGATATAACTATGATGCATCTGGTACAAGATATGTCTTGTGAGGTGTCATTGGAAAAGCTATGATTTGCTAAATATGATTATCCTATTTGTGTGCATGTGTCATTTTTTGTATCTAAAGTTAATCAATATTCATATGTGTGTGTATTTTTATATATATATGACTGGAATGTTTTATGCTACATATGCCATGTAACATCTCTGTAAAGGTTATGATCTAATGAATCTATTCATCCTATTTGTATGCATGTATCACTCTTTGTATTTTCAATTATGAATATTGGCTGTGTACTTGCTTGATTTTTAAGAAGCCTTTGTAAAGCATTTGGTCAGCTTCTTGAGAAAGGAATGGGCAAATTAAGTGCCCAATCAAGAAACACTTAACAAACAACAGAACTTGGAAGGTTCCAATTCACATAAGAAGTCCTCCTGGAGACAGTCAAGATAGCATGTGGGCAATGGCTGCTGCCTGTAAAAACTGAGTTGTGCATGGACATGTGACTTGCCCATGTGACTCCAAAACTCCATTTTAGAGCTGGACTTTGCATAGAAGAGAGGAGGTAGTCTCCACAAGAGAGTCTATTTAAGCCCATGGGAGACCCCTCCATTTTGTCTTCAGTTGGCTCAAAAGATAGCAACTCCACCCCAAAGGATATCTGAAAGAAACTTTGACAAAGGACAGTAACTACAGGGGGTGTGAGTGATTGCTGGACCCAGACTAGAAGGAGCCTAGTCTGTAAAAGGAAACTTACTGGAAAACTTCTGAGGGTAAGGTTTTCTGTATTCAGTTTTCTTACTGTATTAGGCATAGACTTGTGTTTTATTTTCTTTTGCTTGGTAGTTCACTTTCTTCTGTCTATTACTTGGAACCACTTAAATCTTTCTTTCTGTATTTAATAAAATCACCGTTTACTCATTAATTAACCCAGAGTATGTATTAATACCAGGGGAGGGGAGGAAACAGCTGTGCATATCTACCAGTGTTAGAGAGGGCAAACAATTTGAGTTTACCCTGTAGAAACTTTATACAGGGTAAAATGGATTTATTTGGGGTTTGGACCCCATTGGGAGTTGGGCAGCTGAGTGTTAAGGACAGGAACACTTCTTAAATTGCTTTCATAGATATTTAGGTCAGAAGGGACCATTATGATCATCTAGTCTGACCTCCTGCACAATGCAGGCCACAGAATTTCACCCACCCACTCCTGCGATAAACCTCTCACCTATGTCTGTCCTACTGAAGTCCTCAAATCGTGGCTTAAAGACTTCAAGAAGCAGAGAATCCTCCAGCAAGTGACCTGTGCCCCATACTACAGAGGAAGGCGAAAAACCTCCAGGGCCTCTTCCAATCTGCCCTGGAGGAAAATTCCTTCCTGATCCCAAATATGGCGATCAGCTAAACCCTGAGCATATGGGCAAGATTCATCAGTTAAGCCTGCAGCTTTGGGGCACGTGGTGCAGACCTGGGTCTGTTTGTGGCCGGCAAGCATGTCTGGCACAGCCAGGCAGGGTTCTGGAGTCTGAAACTGCCAGGGCAGGAAAGCAGGGGAAGAAGTAGTCTTGGCACATCAGTTGGCAGCCCCAGGTGGGTTTCTGTGATCCAACCCATCACAATGTATCTGTATTTCAAATGTGGTTATACCTGGGTGACACCCACTAGGAAAAATGCTTCTAGTCTAGACATCTGGTTGTGAAGGGCCTATTCAAGATAATTGGCCCTTTGGGAGAAACAATAGGTCTTAAGAGAAGCTTATCCCCCTACCTGGTGAGGCTTCCTGAGAGCACTCCAGGCAGCCTATGAATAATGGCTGCTATGACTCACAAGGGCATCTGACCAGACTACATGATGCTGAACTCCATGTTGGTACCTGTATTTTTCCACAAACTGGACTAGGAACTGAGTTAGGAACAAAGGGTTCCCACTACATGGTAAAGCTATGTAAGGTGGAGAGTGACACTGGTTTTGGGCCTCTCTCCCCACATGAGAACTCCTGGAAACACCTGAGGAACAAAGACTGAACTGGGGGAAGTGCTAGTCCCAGGTTAAAGGGACTTCTAGCCTGTGTATGGAAATTTAGGATTTGAATTAGTAATTATCACCCTGAGTGATGATACAAGCAGGCCACTATCTAGTATATTAGGGTAGCTTGCAGTTTGGTCTTGGGTTTGTTTTGTTTTTGTTTTTTGGCTAGGTAATCTACTTTGATCTGTTTGCTATCACTTATAATCACTTACAATGTATCTTTCTGTAGTAATAAACTTGTTTCTAGTGAAGTGTCTGGAAAAATCTTAGCTCTGTTAACAAGGGCTGGTGTGCATATTCTTTTGCACATTGAGGGAGAGGCAAACTGGGTAATAAATTCATATTGGTCAGGTTTTTGACCAGGGTGGGACAGTACAGTTCTGGGGTCCTAGGCTGCAGAGTTGGGGATATTTTGGCTGTAGCCCTTCTATTGTTTCATGTAGTGACTGGCCAGAGCCTGAATGTAACTGCAGCTGGGTATGTCCCTGCCCATGTAGATGCTGGTGGGAGTGTAGGACTGGGAGTAGTCTGCAGCTTGTCACAGCAGCACAGTGTGAGAGAGAACCCGACTGGTGACTTAGAGGGCTCAGTGGTACCCCAGTTCCAGGTCGCACCAGGGAGGGGACACCTCACACCCTCCACTCCCTATTAGCCACTGCAGGAAGTGGCCTAGACTTTGCACTCCAAAAGAGAAACTGAACTCTTTAATGGCCCAGTAGGAGAGTTGGGGCCTGAAAGGCCCCGAGAGGGCAAGGACATTTCTTCTAGGGGAAGCCGTGGAGTATGGTCTCAGCCTTTGTATCAAGCCATTTATAGGCTGTGGGACTAATTAAGGACTTAAGCCCCACAAGGGCTACAGAGAGAGAGTACAGGCGCACACATAGTTGACCGGGGCTGCTCATGAGAGGTGAGTGCACCCTATTTTGGTCCTATTCTTGGTTGGTCCCTAGTCACTACCATAATACAGAACCTCAGTTGTTCGGGATGTGTGCTAGAGCCTACACACTAGATCCTCTTCCCACTACACCAGTTTTAGGCCAATGAAGTCAACAGAATTTCATTGGTGTAAACTGGCCTAATGGAGTGGACAGTCAGGCCCAGCCTCTGGATTGAATGGGAGACAAAATATAAAATCTCTGAGTACAGATAATTTGAGATCATTCAGCTTTTACAAGATTTACTTCTTACGGTGCACTGCCTCTCTTAATATACCTGATTGTGTACACCAAGTGTGCAGATGCCACATTGCCATGGATTTCTGAATCCTTACCAATTTCACAGCAACAGACCTCTAACTAATGCTGCCTGAATGTTTAATTGCTTATCAGCTTCTAGAAACAGTACCAGTTAGAGTACAGAAGGCTTTTATATATCCAGATGAATAAAATCTAATCCATTTCTGATTGTAACATGGGATGATAGAGATCTTTATTTAAATTGTATGGTGTATTTGCATAGAGTAGAAGGGGAATAGACCAAATACTGTTCTCTTGACTAATCTGGTGAAATTATCACGAAGAATTTCTTCCTCCTAGGAACTGTGGGTTGTTACTTTCTCATCTGCACTGGTGTGATGTGACCCAGAGGCGGCCACATTTCAACAGCGATGGAGGTAGATAATTGTGAAGTGGTTTTTTTTATTATTTTAATCATTAAATATCTATATAAATGTGAAGTATTATAGTTGTTCACTGTGATCCTTTCTCATTCCAAATTACCTTTGTGATGGTATGCAAAACATACCACTAATGTTACCTGATGTCCCCTTTGGAGTATAGATAATCTAGTAGAAAATCGGAACTTCAAAGACTGCACGACACTTTACATCCAAAGTGAGGTTGAGCAGCGGCCCCCACTGTAGGGGTTAACAGATTCACCTAATTTATCTTCTCAGTTCCTAGAGTTCACTGATATATTGTATGTATACTAAGACAGTAATTTATTTCTGCCTGTATGCCAAGTACATGGTATATATGGTCAAGCAATAACATGTATTACTGTCTATCATGTCTTGAGCGAACAGCATTTAAAAGAATTGGCAAGAGGCAACTAGTACTGACTCTAACTTTATATAGTATTTGTGAAAGTGACTATTTTGTTCCTGCACAAAATGACATGGTGGGATCAATTATGGGATCCTTTGTTCTTGTTGCCATGGCATTTTGTATAAGCACAGTAAATGTCTAAAATGGGCTTGTAATCAAAATTCTTACAATAGTCTCTGACTTTTGTTTTCTCTTCAGATGCGGTGATTGGCAGCTAATCTACTGCAAAATCTGACAATGGCAACTGCAAACCAATCATGCATGATAAAACTCATTGGGCCAAAATGAAGCCACTGGAGTTGACAATGGACGTTTATGCCATGAGTGAACTTGATTCATTTTCAAAGAATATTTTCAGCATGTTTATATTGGATTTTAGCTGGTTATTTCTGTAGAAGTTAGTGAGCCAAATTCAGCAGTGATGTAAACTACATCTAAATTTACATATTGGATGTAATCTTGTCATAAGTGGCAATTGCACAAACTTTTGCACTGAATAGTTTAGTGCAATGAGTGGGAGTTATTGCATGCTACCGAGACCATATTCAGCCTTGAAGTCAGTGGGAATGACTTATACCATGGGTGAATAAAACCTTGGGAATAGTATGAGCATAAGAAGCAGAGGAAGGCTTCATTTTCATTTTACACCTTTGTGCTAGTTGTTTTTCCTGCTACCACCCTCACTTCAGCATGTAGGTTACACTTGTTATGCACACCCACTGAATACCAAATCAGTTGTATAGAACTAAATCTTAAAGCCACTATAAATTGGTGGGTGGGGGAAGCAAATTGCAGTAGCAGGAGTCCTATCTAAATAAAACCAGACTTCCAGCCTAAGGAAGCAACTGAACAAATAACACAATACATATATTGAAGTCCCTGATAAAAACCATATTAGATTCAGACTACAAAAACTCACTTTCTTAAAAACAACCTTTGTTTTTCTAAAATGTCATTTATTCAAAGCAATTAGAATTTTAACTGCATGGCTGTTACATCCAGTATACTTTTCAATTTGCCTCTGAGGTAAGGAAAGAATTAATACTGACAAGGTGTCATAAATATAAAGGGAAGGGTAACCACCTTTCTGTATACAGTGCTATAAAATCCCACCTAGCCAGAGGCAAAATGCTTTCACCTGTAAAGGGTTAAGAAGCTAAAGTAACCCCACTGGCACCTGACCCAAAATGGCCAATGAGGGGACAAGATTCTTTCAAATCTGGAGGCCGGGAACAAAGGGTTTGGTCTGTCTGTGTGATGCTTTTGCCAGGAACAGATCAGGAATGCAGCCTTAAAACTCCTGTAAAGGTAACAAGTACTCTAGCTAGACAATGTGTTAGATTTTTCTTTTGTTTAATGGCTGGTAAAATAAGCTGTGCTGGATGGAATGTATATTCCTGTTTTTGTGCCTTTTGTAACTTAAGGTTTTGCCTAGAGGGAGTCTCTGTTTTGAATCTGATTACCCTGTAAGGTATTTACCATCCTGATTTTACAGAGGTGATTCTTTTACTTTTTCTTTAATTAAAATTCTTCTTTTAAGAACCTGATTGCTTTTTCATTGTTCTTAAGATCCAAGGGTTTGGGTCTGTGTTCACCCGTACCAACTGGTGAGGATTCTTATCAAGCCTTCCCCAGGAAAGGGGATGTAGGGCTTGGGGGAATATTTTGTGGGAAGACGTCTCCAAGTGATCTCTTTCCCTGTTCTTTGTTTAAAACGCTTGGTGGTGGCAGCATACAGTTCAAGGACAAGGCAAAGTTTGTACCTTGGGGAAGTTTTTAACCTTAGCTGGTAAGAATAAGCTTAGGGGGTCTTTCATGCAGGTCCCCACATCTGTACCCTAGAGTTCAGAGTTGGGAAGGAACCTTAGAATCATAGAATATCAGGGTTGGAAGGGACCTCAGGAGGTCATCTAGTCCAACCCCCTGCTCAAAGCAGGACCAATCCCCAACTAAATCATCCCAGCCAGGGCTTTGTCAAGCCTGACCTTAAAAATATCTAAGGAAGGAGATTCCACCACCTCCCTAGGTAACGCATTCCAGTGTTTCACCACCCTCCTAGTGAAAAAGTTTTTCCTAATACCCAACCTAAACCTCCCCCACTGCAACTGGAGACCATTACTCCTTGTTCTGTCATCAGCTACCACTGAGAACAGTCTAGATCCATCCTCTTTGGAACCCCCTTTCAGGTAGTTGAAAGCAGCTATCAAATCCCCCTTCGTTCTTCTCTTCCGCAGACTAAACAATCCCAGTTCCCTCAGTGTCTCCTCATAAGTCATGTGTTCCAGACCCCTAATCATTTTTCCTGCCCTCCACTTGTCCTTGTTGAACCTCATCAGATTTCTTTTGGCCCAATCCTCTAATTTGTCTAGGGACCTCCGTATCCTATCCCCACCCTCCAGCGTTTCTACCTCTCCTCCCAGTTTAGTGTCATCTGCAAACTTGCTGAGGGTGCAATCCACACCATCCTCCAGATCATTTATGAAGATATTGAACAAAACCGGCCCAAGGACCAACCCTTGGGGCGAACAGCAGAGTGGCTAACAGAGGGAGTTTGCCTGGGATCTGCCTGAGAGGAGGTACGCTAAGGGCTGCATTAAGGAGGCTGTGTTGGTGAGTATCTGAGTGTTTGTTGTGGGGACAGTTTGACAGTTTGACCGTGTGCTTGATTGGTGGTTTGAAAAGTGTGAATTGGGAGTGCTTTGTTCCAGGTGAGCCTTGAGTGGGCCTGACTGTATAAACCTTGACACAAGGCTTCCAAGTGGTCAGGAAAAATTGGAATCCAGGGCCCATACCTTTATCTCTGGAGGGCTATCTATAAAATGGAGATAAATGCCATGATTTTCAAAAATTGGAGACAAAAATTAGGCTCCCAAATTCAAGGCATATTTATTATAGCTCTCATTGACCTGCTGGGTGCACATAAATTTTGAAAATAAGGCGGCTACTTTAGCTGTGTAAATATGGATTTAGGAGCTTTCAATTAAGCTCCTATTTCTGAAAATCTTGGCAAATATTCACATGGCTGTGTAAAAAGTTATTGTTTTTAAAGCACTTTGAAGATGAAAAGTGATCGTATAAATCTAAGTATTATTCCAATGAAACTTAATTTAGTACCAACATAGCAGTAACACTAGAGCACAACACTATAAACACCCCTCTCAATACACTCTGAACCCTGTAGTCTTCTGTTTCCATGAAGTTTTATATGCTAGTGTGACACCATGTTATTAACCATAAATCCTATGCACAGGTAGGAGATATTTAGTGATATTTTCCCATATTCTCATAGGAGCTCTTAAAATGTGGCAATTTTACCCAAGAGCCCTTCAGTACAGTATGCCCAAAGGGCATGAGATTAAAACACACAAACTGTCTCGAGAGAATTGTTTAGTTTCCTCTGAAGAGGAGGAAAAAACTGAAATGAGTTAATCTGTTTATCCGGATTCAATTGCTTCAATAAAAAGCTAAAATTTGTTCAGACTGTAGTGCCAGTTGCTCCTGAAATGAACTCTAATTTATATCAAGTTTCGAACCCATGTAAAAGTCCCAATTAAGTAGAAATAACTGATCTTTTTTTGTGATTCACCACTAATTAAATATTACTATATAAGCACAAAGTAGCAATATTAGTATATGCAGACTTCCCATGATTCCCCTTGGAATCTGATAGATGCTACAGGGGAATCATTGTAATATATACTTTTTCAGATCCTCCACGATACATAGAATAAAATCACAGGTACAGTGGATTGAGTTTGTGATCTTCATAAGTGCTTCAGTTTCTAGAGAACTTCTCTATGCTGTCTGCTCATCTTCTCCCACCTATTATCAAGTTCTGCCTAATAGCTGCTGTCAGAAGTGAATAACAGTGCCAGAAAAGGACTAAATCCTCCTACTGCACTAAAAAATAGGCTGAATGTCAGAAATATTTGGTTAGGAGCAATTCAAGCAAAATCATTCCCATAGACCAACAGAAATGAAGTGTCTAAAATATCACAAATGTAACCAAATAAAGTGATAAATTTACAGAGAAATGTAGGGATCTGAAGCACAGTCCAGAAAAAATATTAGAGCAGTGATATATACATAGAGGAAAAATCTATTGTAAAAATATATGTATGTACGTTCATTACATTGAATTAAAATTATTTAATCAAATTAAATCATGAAAAATGATTTACATAGAGATAGGAACAGTTTCATTTCTGTGAATTGTTTTATTTCTGAAAATGACAACCATACATTTGGAAATATACAGATGTTAATATTTCAAAATATATAACTATGAATGTCATTTTCAGTATGTATCACATTTTCTTCTCACTAGAAGACATTTATTTAACATTTATTGCATCTCTTCATTTGTTTAAAAAAAACAATTCATATAAGAACATAGGAATGGACACATTGGGTCAGACCAATGGTCCATCTACCCCAATAGCCTGTCTTGTTACAGTGGCCAGTGCAAACTGCCTAAGAAGAAATGAACATAACAGGGCAATTATCAAGTAATCCATCCACTGTGGTCCAGTCCTAGCTTCTGGCAGTCAGATTTAGGGACACCCAGAGCACGGGGTTGCATCCCTCGACATATTGGCTAATAGCCATTGATGGATCTATCCTCCATAAACTTATCTACTTTTTTTTAACCCCAGTTGTACTTTTGGCCTTCACAACATCCCATGGCAATGAGTTCTACAAGTTGACAGGCACTGTGTGAATGTCTTATGTATGTTTTTTAAACCTGCTGCCTATTAACTTCATTGGGTGACCCCTCGTTCTTATGGTATGTGAAGGGATATATAACAATTCCCTATTCACTCTCCACACCATTCCTGATTTTTATAGTCCTCCTGTAACACCCCTTAATCATCCTTTTTCTAACTGAAGAGACAGTCTTCTTAATCTATCTCTTTGTTTGGAAGCTGTTCCATATCCCTAATTTTCATTGCCTTCTCTGTACCTTTTCCAATTCCAATATATCTTTTCTGAGATGAGGTGACCAGAACTACATGCAGTATTCAAGATATGGGTATACTATGGATTTATCTAGTGGCATAATGGTATTATCTGTCTTATATATCCCTTTCCTAATGGTTCCTAACAGTATTTGCTTTTTATTTTATTTTATTTTATTTTTACTGCCTCTGCCCACTGAGCAGACGTTTTCAGAGAATTATCCACAATGACTCTAAGATTTTTTTTTTTCTTCTTGAGTGGTAAGAGATAATTTAGACACATCTCACTGCATGTACAGTTGGGAGTATTTTTTCCATTTATCAATATTGAATTTCATCTGCCATTTTGTCACCCAGTCTAGTGAGATCCCTTTGTAACTTTACTATCCTGAGTAATTTGAATATTTGCTAATTTTGCCACCTCACTGTTCACCCATTTATCCAGATCATTTATGAATATGTTGACCAGCACAGGTCCCAGTACAGATCCTTGAGAAACCCTGCAGTTTACCTCTCTCCATAGTGGAAAACTGACCATTTATTCCTGCCCTATTCCTATCTTTTAACCAGTTAATTATACATGAAAGGACATGGATTCCCTCTCATCCAATGACTGCTTAGTTTGCTTAAGAGCCTTCAGTATAGGACCTTTTCACAGTCTACCTGGACTCTTAGAAAGCCCTTGTGTACATGCAAAAAAACCGAGGAGTACTTGTGGCATCTTATGTTTCCACTGTTAATGTATAATATTTCCACTGTGTATGTTACCATCCTTGTTTAATGGTTCTAGGGCTTTTTTCCCTTCTTGAGTCTTGCACAAAAGGGTGTTTTAGCCTAAGTCAACAATGAAATATTCTGCACTGGCTTAGGGTCTATGATTGATATTTTTTCGCCACTTAGACAGTAAGGTAACTTCACCAATTTGCTCTGGTTTGCATCCACTTGCCGCATGGCTGCGCCTCGAAGTTTTAAGTTAGGCTAAAAAAAACACTTCTGCTCTGTGCAGATTGAGTACTTTGCAATCCCATTGTATGATACCATTAAGCCTTATTCCTGTACATAAGTGGAATTTGACTCACTTTCTAACTTTGTACACTTTCTCCCACTCAATGATTTTTTTTTCAGTTTAGAAATGCCAGCACAGAACATTAGCACTTCATAGAATGCTGCCTTCTTCAACCAGAGAAGAAAAAATACACTAAAACCTTAGCAAAGGGAGTAAGAGATATGCAGATGCAGACACCATTCTTTAATGCTGAACAGAAGGTACAGAGGTATCACCTTCATGGAGCATACTGGGGCAGGCTCTCAGCAAGCAAGAAACCAGGACAGGGGAAGATAGTAAATTAACTGTAGTTAACGAACATAGGAAAGAAAAAGCAATTAAAAGAACTTGTATGATCTTTGATATTCAAGACCTGCTCCTACTATGGTTTAAAAAAATTTTTAGGGTGAAATCTTAGCCCCACTGCAGCCAATGAGAGTTTTGTTATTAACTGAATGCGGCTAGGATTTCACCTTTTTGAGTATGTTTGCACCTCTATTTGGAGAAAACATTTCTGGGAGAATAACACACGTGCTGAT